TCACCTATAAGGACAAGATTGTGTTTTGTTAAACATTTAAAATCGATACAAAATTTACAACACTGATTATTAACAATCAAAATGCCCCAAGTAAAACAATCAAACATCAACCCAGGCGTCCAATTGTCGACACCTATAAATAAAAGATAAAGAGCAGCTTCATATGTCACCAAGTTAGCTTTTAAACAGGTCAAAACAAATAAAAAACGAGAGGACAATAAGCAACGTTCAAGGTTTATAACTTTATAAGACATTCGTGTGCGCGCATAATGAAAACAAGCTATCAATGTCATTGTAGCAATTGTGAGAGTCGCTAGACAGATGATATCGTCAAAATACATTGCGAAAGAAAATATTGTTATTACCAAAGAATTTAGCTGATTGACATCGTCTGCTCTCGTGCGCCTGGGAGATCGCTTAAGTAGATGAAAGTCAAAACACTCGTAAAGAACGTTTATTCATTACGCCTTTGCAACATTACACTTCATAAATTTAAACCTTACGATATCGAATAGCCATATTTTTAATTTGAGAGCACGCTACAATAAACTTTAGCCAACTTCAGCGCTATTAAACAAGTACAAAATGCCTGTCGCCCACTTAAATAATAATAATTTATTAAATATATGATACAAAAATGTGTAAAGTGGTACAATCGTAAGTTCGCATATCCTGCCACACTTTCTTTTTTCTTTCTCTTGTCTTTGAAGGAATTTTACATTTTACATAAAAGTAATACATTAAGTCGCTTTTTAAAGACTCTAGCCGGAAGATCTTTTAATTATTTTGGTAAATTATTGTAAGCCTTAATTGCCATACACAAGGTGTTTTTCCTAAACAGTTCCAGATTGATTTTTGGCACAGCCAATCTTACTTCGACTTCTACATTCGACTTAAAAATATGTATGTTTCTGTGCACGAATAAGGACATTTCTAAAATATAAATACAGCCCTGCGATTCTGTAACTCACTTTTCGAACTCACACAGCGGTTTTCGGATCGCCGGTCGCTCTCAAATCAGTCGTGAAGCAGTCATTTTATGATTTGGCATTCTGAAAAGGTGGAAGCTTGTAGTTTATTGTTTATTAGAATGCGAAATCATAAAATGACTGCTTCACGACTGATTTCAGAGCGACCGCCGGTGCGAAAACCGCTGAGTGAGTTCGAAAAGTGAGTTACAGAATCGCAGGGCAGGGAAGAGATAAAATGTTGAGCTTCTTAAATAAAGGTACGCAACTATCAAGACAGTTTGCTCCACAAATTGCTCTAATACATTTCTTTAAAAACTAATACATTTAATAAATAACATAAGTTATCAAATTACACCTACCAATTGCCGTAATATCCCTTTATAATTCAAACTAAACAATCGAAATTTATGATCGGTTCCCGTTTGAAAGCGCCACGAATAAAAAGTTTTTTTTTTAATAAAGCATAGAGCACAGTATGACGCAGATGCTTTATCAAATATAAGATTAGCCTCAACCCGGATTCCTCCTTTGTGATGCCACAAATATTATGACACGTCGGCAGGCAAATAGACATGATTTGTATTATGGGATTAGGGTCACAACTCAGTCTTACGATCATACCGTGAGGGATCAAAGGAATAACAGTGGCGCTATAGCCCTACATTGGACTGTAAATTTTGCATCTGTTTTGTTAATATTTTTTTATAGAATAGGGGCAAACGGGCCCGAGGATCACCAGAATTGGTACGCTCTTTTCTTGATGGACCCTAAGTCGAATTGGGTCGGAAATACTTCAGAGGGCAGCTGGTTGTATACAAGTAGGTGATAAGCCTACTGCCGTGCGATTCTGTTAATCCGTGAGTTCACCTCGCACTAACAACGCTCCCTTCCATTTTTGGAATCTCATGGTATTCTGTTAAGCAATTTCACATTACGTCTTGGCAAGCGGAGGGAGCTTGTAGTTTATTGTTTATCAGAATGCCAAATCGTTAAATGACTGCTTCACGACTGATTTGAGCGCGACCGCGGCTGCGAAAACCGCTGTGAGAGTTCGAAAAGTGAGTTACAGAATCGCAAGGCTGTGCCCGTTACAGCGTCGTTGATTTTGAAATAACCGTTGGTGCTTGCCGGGGTGCAAACTCAGGAATTTAAAAGTTTTAAGTTTTCACTTTTAAAGTTTACACCAATACTATGAAGCACTATTTGTTTGTTTATCTATCTTTTATATCGTATGGGTGTTATCAAATGTTTATACATTAAATGATGTACCGAGATGATACCGTATAAAACATGTATAATTTTTCTTTATAGTCTTCTTTGCCTCCAACGATTGATACAATGGAATCGTTAAATCCTCGACCAATAAAAGTAAATAAGGTATTTGTGATCTTAATTATGCAATGGCATCCTTGTTATGTCTAGTATTTCTCAGTATAAGGGTGAAGCCGCAATCCGACCTGAATTCTAGACCAGGAGTCATTGAATACCTACAGGAGTCAAAACTGTTAATAATTAATTTTCTATGTTATATATAATTTAAAATATTAATTCATTTAATAATATATATAAATGTCCATAGCACCGTGTTCTTTGTACCGTGGTAACAAACACAATACAACATTATGTGTGTTCTATTAGTGATCGTGTCATAATTTTAAGTTATTTTAATGTGTTTTATCCTATGAAATTATTATTATATTGCACCGCTTTAACCCGTATTATGCACCTTATCATCGCAATCGCATGATTTCTCATATATAGGAAAAGCTGAGCACATATCTCACCAAGAGACACCTAAACATTAGTGTACATATACTTCTATTTGTGTGACCATACTTCTATATAATTATATTCTCACTTCAAAGTATATAAGACCGTGTGTGTTTACACATTATCCTACAGATGAAGTCGTCAGGGCCATAGCCAAAAGTATTGTATACCACGTAACAACCACTTCAAGCGGATGTTTTTACTAGTACTCCAGTTTATTCAGTGCAAGAAAATCAAATAATTGCCATGATAGCGATGCAAATGCTATGCAGAACAAATTAACACGGATCGTCGCTGTGTTTGTCGTATAACTGTGTGGAGTGCGACGTCTTTACAGTTAGATAAATACGTATTGTGCGACGTACTACCAATAATGCATTTCATTGTCGGTACCCTTTTGTGGCGCAGGTGCAAATTCTACTAATTCAAGTATAGACGCGATGTATTAGCTGATAGGTTTTCAATGTTTTCACGACCTCTCTAATAGGAGCACAGAGTAACTTTGTTTCTAGTCTGTGGGCTAATTGTGCAAGCATCTCTGTAGGAAATTTTAACTTCTATAATATATAAAGTAATTAAAGGATGCTGTTATTAAAACTATTAAATTAGTTATTTAATTAGGTAAACATAAAGCAAATAATTCATATGGACGTTCATACGCCTATACATAAAAGTTATTTCACGCCATCTATGAGAAATTATTGAAACTAAAATTTTAAGACGCTGGTTTAGGAAGAATTATGACATAAGGTTTTAACCCAAAAATATTACAATAGATGGCGGATAGTACAATAAAGAGATTTTTTGTTTATTAAAATAATTTTATAATATTATGTTAGTAATTTGTTACTTTAACTAAGGATCTGTTCATCATCCTGGTGCAATATTAATATTTTTTCCTTTTCAGTTGTGTGTAAATTAACTTGATTTCTGTAAGTTTTTTTTCTTTGCTCAATCTGTAGGCTATTTCTTGTTATTTGGCTTCTGTTTTAGCACTATAGGTAATTGTTTTATGTTACCTTTGCTTGTAAAGATGCCCAAATTACATTATATTGAATAATAATAAACATATTGTGTGTTGTAACACAGCACCACATAATTTTGGTCAGTATCTTACATTTTATTTACTAAAGTTTAATTTGCTGTATTGATTATGAATGATGATGTTACGCAGGAATCAGTGGGCTAATCAAATTTGCCATATTAATTAATTGAAGAGGCAGAAATGTGTCCATCACAAGACAAATATGATAGCATAATAATAATAGCATATAAGCAGCAAATACTGGCTGAAGTTTTTACTAAATATAAAACAAAATATTTTATGACGTAGCTAATACAAATTATATATGTGTGACTTCTAGTAATTTATTCATTAATTATCTTATTTGCACACAACAGCAACAATACATTGAACTTTTACAAAGATACATACCCGTCTCAAAGGTACTTTGAAGCAAATAATTCTTGTGCCTTCTATAACTTTACCCAAAGCTTTGTAAGGTATCCACCTGCAATAAAAATATAGTAAGATATTGGTAATTCATACATTGCTACGAAAGTTACGATTTGATATCATTAACAACTTTACCTATCAGGGATTTTAGGGGCCATTGATAATACAAATAAAATATACTTAAGAATTCGGAGAGAAGAAGAAGAAGTGTAATTGAGAATTTAAGAACAACAGACGTACAAAAAAACTATAAAATAAACATTATAAGATAACCTAAAACCAAAACAATCTTATTTCACTTCGTTATTGTCATTTGGCTATGACATTAACCTGACACTGTCACTTCCGTATTTCAAGACCGAGATCAAAAATACAATATCATATTATAGAGACTATCGTGATATCGTGATCGCTTTTCATTTTTTTCCACGAGTGTTATTCACATTTTTGACAAACAAGCAGATTTATGAGATACCTAAGTAACTATTAATTTTAAATTAATATTTATTATTTAGAAAAGCTTTACGTAAGCGCAGTCAGGGTACTGACATATGACAGCTTCAGTCGCTGCGGCAGCGTTCAATTAGTATTTAGTAACCTAAAAGATAAATAAAAACAAGGAAAGTCGACCCTTAAACTTCAGTAAAAAAATAATAACAAATTTTTATATGCCATCATGTCGTTATTAATTTTTCTTGAAATGACATAGGCCCTATGTACCTAATCATTTTTAAAATAATTAAGGCCTTATTTCTAAGCTTTTTCTAAAGTAAAAACAAAAACTTCGTTTCTATAGCAACGCAATGAAAAGAAAAGCTTGTTTGATCGAAGCATTTGAATCGGATTTCAATTCGGTCAAAACGAGTTTCGAAAAGCAAGTTATAAAAAAATATAAAGACTTGGACAAAATGTACAAAAATACGATTTGGTACAAATCTTTATTGGATGCTGAGAAAACGTCCTTGAAAGAAGACAAAATTCGTAAAATTCACTATAAATTTGAAGATGATAGAGAAATGGTTGAGGAATACAACGTAGACACGCATGTCCTGCTGAGGAGATCTTGGAAGGTAAAGGGAAAGCTAGGAAGTGAAGGGAAATGGGATGTGGAAATTGGTGACCCTATACCAGATGGAATACAGTCAATTGAATCCACTGAAATAGTGGAATCAAAAGATCAGGTTAGTTCTTATATTATTATCATTTTAATAATTTAAAACTTTACATATAACTACTGTTTAATATATTTTTTTGCAGCCTATAGTGATGAGACGTAATACTAGAGTCAACTTAGAATGGAGGATAAGAAATCTTCCATATCCCATTGAAACCTACTGTATAAAGGCCAATAATGAAGATAAATTTATCATTTTAAGTACAACAAATAAAAAATATTATAAAAAGCTTCAAATCCCTGAATTAACAAGATTGGGTTTGAGCATTGAACAGGCTAACATTCAATCGTCACATAAGTACAATACCTTAATTATAATGGTGAGTAGTATTTATGTATAGGTACAATTTTAAATTTAAAAAATGCTTGTTAAATTAAAAAATTACTATATTTTATTTTTATTTTTAGTACAAGAAACCTCAACAACTATTAGATATGGAAAAGGATTGGTATCAAGAGTTGGATAAAGTAAAACCAGTGAAAGATATACCAAATGAATGCAAAACACAATAATAGTATTAAATTGTATGAATTATAATTTTAATACCTACAAGAGCAGTTTCTTTACATTTTATATGTACTATTGTAAATAAATACAATACAATGTGGCAGTTAAAGCACAAGACGTATAAACTGCCAACTAACAAAACATCATATTGTTATAATTGAATTACTATAGTCAATACATTGATTATTCATGGCTGAACATTTTTCACAAAATGTATCGTTAAGATACTTTTACTATCATGTTGACTATATAGGCAAACATTTTTGCATCTGGTTCCTATTTTATCTTCATAAGTTAATTTTAATCACTATCGTCCATTATTAATGCTTTTGCCTGTTCTTTTAATTCATCTTCATTTTCTTCTTTATCTAATAAACCTCTTGCTTTTAAATATTCACCATATTGTTGTGGTATACCCATGAATGTTTTAATTTTTGCCCTTAGCTGTTTCCATGTTTCTTGGTAATAATTTTTCTTGTCTTTGGCCATTGCTTTGTAATCATGACCATATTTATCAAGTAAATAAGTAATAAATTCTACTTGACCTTTTGGTAATCTGAAATAAAGAACAAATAAAAAGGTTTCTTCTTTCATTAATAATCAATGTTTTAATTTTGAAGAGATTAAGTAATAATTATCGCTAACAAACTTACTTAAATCTTCTTTCCCTAGGAGCGTGTGCTTCTTGTTCCAGCTTATCAACAACAGCCTTCTTACGAGGTTTTGATTTTACTACTTTGGGCTCTTCAGATTCCGACTCATCAGGATCCACTATTTTTTTGGCTATTTTTAATTGTTCTTCTTTGTAACTGGGTATTTTTATAGCTTTGTTTGGATCATTTACAAGTCCCATGTCACGCAAATTACGAAAAGTTGATCTATTGTTATTCCATGCTTCTTTCAAAGCTTTACTATAATGTTGAGAGTCATACAATTAATATTTAATACAATAATTACAGCGAACACGTAAATAATAACCACGTGTTACCACTTACCAATTTACTGTGCCTGTACTTTTTTGCCTGAGATGCATTCGTTTTCGATTTAACTTATGAAGATATTTTTTCTTTCTATGTTGCTTTTTTATTTTCATTTTATGACTTTGACCTTATTCCAAAAACACTTAAATATTATATTTTTGGAGTTTTTACTAGTTAATTGATAATGTTATTAAATCACTTGGAAATACAGTCTGTACAGAATAGTACAAATTACGTATGTCTATTGTCTTTGAAAGTTGAAATCAGTTTTTGACCCAAAACTTGAGTCATAGCCACAGACTGAGTGTGTGAGTATAAATCTATAAAAGTCGAAGAAAACTTTCGAAGTATATTATTATAGTATTCAAGTCTTCGAATTTAAAGTATATTTGTTGTTTTTGTATTATAACCTAACAAAATATCACAATTTTACCACTCTTCACTAAAACAAGAATACCTAAAAAAATAGAAGGCTTGGGAACTTCACTTATATAAACACGATTCCAAACGCTTCGTTGAGCAAATATGTAAATATAAATTTGGGTTTAAATATTTTTAAATTTTTAATTAAATAATAATAAATTTACTACAGATTTACTGTATTTAAATAGGAATTTTAAAACAAATTATTGAATGTTTTGTATTAATAATAATTTTATTTTTATTGTTTAGCTTTAACATTATTTATCTAGTCGCACTTGAAATCATACTATTTACTTTAACAACTATATATGCAATTGCAAAGGAAGCGCTCGGATGCCTTATCATGCGATTACAATGCGATGTTATGTGGCGCGCTTTGCGCAATTAGAACGGCGTGTATAACATTTATAATACAACTAATAACACTGCCAAACCTTACATATCAGTAAATATACTTTTTATCCAAACGTCTTGTAATCTTGTCCAATTTATTAACATAGAAGTCAGCAAGAATAGCTATCACCACTATCACGAATTAGCATGAGAATAGTGTTATTAAACAACCTGATTATTTTAACAATGTTTATTAATACAATAGAGGAAAGAAATACTACTATACCATTCGAATAGTATTTTTTTCTCTAAATTTTTTGTGCAGAGTTGACACTTGACAGCTGTCAGGGCACTAAGACAAAAGTGTAAACTAGTGTAAACCATAAAGTGTAAACTACTGTATGGTATAAACATGCTAATTGCTAGTTGCTACTAATTGCTATATTATGTTAACCTGAAACCTCACATAGTCTTTAAGGTTAAGTTACTAGTCAGTGTACAAAATACAAAACAAATTGAAAAATAATTTAAATATCAGTTTCATTATGCATAAAACTGGAGCAACGCGGCATAAAAAGTTCCTTAAAGCCGAAAAGTCAAAAACTAAACTCAAGGGTAAAAAGGATCCTGAATTACCTAAAGGAACCAATGTTACGAAAACCAATTTTAAAGTTAAGAAAATTGTGATCAAGGAACAACTTAAAAAGCATGTTCAGTCAGAAGCCTTGTCTACAAGAAAACTTAATGTCAAGGAATTGTTATCGAGACTTAACCATTTTAATGCAACCTCAAGAACTGACGCTTTAGATGGTTTAAAGGAAATCATAAATTCTAACCCAGAAATTCTTGAACAAAGTTTAGGACCGGTGATACAGGGTGTTAGCTCCTTGATACTTAATGTAGAAAAAGCTGTAAGTGAAAATAAATACTAAAGGTTTTATTCTTTGCTATGCTCTTGTTATTTGAGTGACAATTCTTTAAAGTATATGCTGATATAAAAAAATATTTATTTTTATTACAGGTGAGACATTCAGCCTTAAAAGTTATACATTTGGTATTGTCAAATGTTATAACAGAAAAGATTGAACCATTTTTTGATATAATGTCTACTTATTTAAGAAGTGCCATGACTCACATTGATAGTAGAATACAGGAAGACTCTTTGCTATTCCTTGACATACTACTACTTTGTGCACCTGAAAAAGCTGCACAAGATTTTCATAAAATCATTCCCAATTTCTTAGATATGATTTCCAAGTTGCGCACAGATGCCAAACCAGGAAGAACATTGACTGTTAACCTCAACAGTCAAATAACAAGTGTTAAGTGGCGGGTTAAGGTTTTAAATCGCCTTAAAGACTTTCTACAAAAGTTTGCAGAATACAATAATATTTTTAAACTGGAGAAATCAAATCAGACAAAGATACAGACATTTAATAAAGATGGGCCAAACTATTATCCCTTGTTTAATCCAATTCACATATCTCCATGTGTGGTATCTTGTTTTTCTTCAAAGACATCTGAAAATGTGCTTCAAATTGATGAAATTGAAAAGTTCAGGGAATATGTTGAAACGTTAATGCCCTTGTTATTTGAAACATGGCTTGAAGCAAGCCCTAACTTGAAATCAGATAGAAATATGGAAACTGTTGTTAATGAAGATGCAGCACTTTTAATGAAACATTTACTTGAAGTGATCACAACAATATGGGACATTGTCAAGTATTATAATGAAAAAGCACCAAGTTCAAAAATAAAGAATTTGTTTTGTCAAAAATACAAGTCTCTGTTTACTCAAAATATTTGTAACTCCTTTCCCTATGTTACCAATGTTCGATCAAAGCAGGCTAAGAATGCAGACAATACAGAAGATGTTATAACAGATCCAAAGTTAGTGACAGAAAATCTACAAATATGTTATCTATTTATTGTATTGAATCCTCATATCAATATAAAACATGAAGGAAAAACCATTACATCTGTGTTGCACTACATTGAAAAAATGTTTGGTAAGTCAGATGAAAATATTAACAGAAGGATGTTAAAGATTTTACATACAACTTTCTCTAAAGAAGTTACAGGTTGGACAAAGAACACATCCGTCATGGATACCTTATTCCAAAAAATTATTTCTTTTTATTTACAAAATGAAGGAACAGATGTATTTAAGCAACAGATATTTAGTTTGCTCTGTCAAATTGCCCTCAATGATAAATTGTCTCATTTACATTCTAATGTCTTATATGAGCAGTGGTTGAAAAATTTGCCCAACATCCTTCTTGGTGACTCGTTATCAGTACAAACTGTTGATATTCTTCACAAGTTTGCTGTTACCAAAAATAATCTTTTTAATTCTGTACTTAAACCAAAATTATTAAGTATTATTGGAAATCTACCTAAAATTATGATCAAAGATTGCACATCAAACAGTGATTATCACAAGTTGTTATCTCTCTTGTACTGGATAAAACCATGGGATACTGAATCACTGAATTTACTCGAAAACCAGTTGATGCAAAGTCAATACAGAGGTGACCATGGAAAATATATATTTGATACTTTAAGATTGAAAAGTGGAGGAATATTGTAATGTATCATTGTTAAATAAAAGATGAAAGTTTTATATCTTTTTTTATTCCATTGAAACGCAAATATGATCATCATTATCTAAATACTTAGAGAACTTACATTATTGTAGAGCATTGATGTGCACAAATGCTACAACACTGGAAGCAATAAGCCCCTTACAATATTTAACCAATCCTTGAATTAATATATATTTACAATAGTATTTAAATTTGTCATGGTAATATCCAAGTAATAGTGTAATTTAATAATAATTTTGTGCTCTACTACACTAAATTAAAATCTACATAAGGAACATAATGTCAAATCCTAATTTATAACAGATCAAAATAAGGTTAAAACATTAATGGTCTCTGAATAGTAAAACTTGTTTACATAAATATTCATCTATAATTAATTATTGTAATGTCATACATATTAATGAGTACCACACAACATGGTGCGCTATATCAGAAGCCTCCAACCTATTTTATAGAAATAAATTATGTGTAACAGGCTCTTTGGGCTTGAGTATCTTATAAAGGCATACAACTATCTATTCTATCTCTAGATTATTCATGCTAATGAAGTATCCAATTACTAAAAATTTGGCAAATTTTGGCTAAAATAATATTTCCAAAGAAAAACCCTTCGGGTGTTTGATTTCAATAAGCAAAGTGAATTAGATATTTTTGAGATTAGTTTTCTCATAACCAAAACCCTTATTGCACTAAGTATTTGCATTTAATGCTTATATTATTGGTAACTTTCTAATTGCACAACAAATTTTAATTAAAACATGCTTTGCTTTGGATTTTTATTTAAAAGCATAGATTATAAATAATTGAAATTATACTGATTTTATAGTTCTCTATGAATGTGTTTATTGAGTTTTCCTTTTACTAGATTTTTTTGCGCGAGGTATTGTAGCAGAGGCCGACAGCACTGCCTGAAAATAAAAAATATATATTTTTTTAATAATAAGAAGCCAAGCACATATATTTTGTTCTATAAATGTATCAGTCAATTAATTAGGAACTTAGCGGGCAAACATACTATTTAGAATGTAAAACTAAGAACACATTTAGAATACCAGATTCTCATGCAGTAAAAGGATATTAAATTGTAAGGTACACCATAAAATTAATAAACAACACAAATTACAAAAACTATAAGTGCAGAAAAATATACTAAAAACTATTTTGTAAAAATCATATATCAATGCCATTAAAGTTAAAATATAAATCATATCTATTTTATATGTCTATTAAAATAATAGAATACACAAAAAATACAAACAAAAACCGTAAATCCATGCAAGAACTCACTAAAAATAAAGTGATTATTCAGTTGTCTCGCAGCTATATAAAACGGAACAAGGAGGGTTACACATCTGTGCTCTTTGACAATGTGACATCATCATTTAAAGGAATAAATTTATACTCTGGGTGACTTTCAAGTTTAGCTTCGATTAATTTTTGCAATTCGTCACTCTTCTCTTTTATATCTTGTATAATATTTTCTTTGTCTATTTCTTTGGAGCCATGTTCTGATTCTGTCAAACAAATTTCTTTAGAAGTATTGGCGATATCAAAACAACTTTGAAATTCGTCATTCATTTTTGACCGAAGAGTGTTTACTATCATCGGATGCTGATATTGATAAATCAGATTTTGATTTCTCATCACCTTTAGCCCAAAAAGCGAGTTTACTTGGAAATTGTAATAGTTTACCAAAACCAAGATTACTTCCACTTCCTCTTGCGGGCGATTTTGATTTAGATCGTCGATTTGAGTCTACGTTAAGACTATCGTTTAAAATGAGTTTAGAATCTAAAATTTCCGTGGTCTCAAAGTTTTGCAGATCTTGAATTTCAGAATTATCTAATTCAGTATTTGTCAGTACTGCTTTTTCGTTTTCCTTAGGTGGCAGAGGAGCTTTGCTTTTGCCATATTTTCCCTTTGAAAGTTTTTTAACGGATTTTGGTGTTGGCTCCGGTGTGCCAAAGGAAGCTTCATCGTCACTGTCAACGGAGTCATCGTTAACCGTTCTACTTTCTGTATCAATAAACTCTTCTTGAATGTCTTCATCCATAAGTTTTTCATTTGGCAGTGTAACATCAGATTCCTTAACATTCATATCATTTGACAACGTGTATTGTTTATCAATAGGACTTTTATCTTCTTTACTATTGTTATTTATTTTTGTTTCTTCTAATTTTTTTAATTCTACTTCATTTTTATCAAAATCAGTTTCGACCCTTTCAGTTCTAACTTTATTTGTTTCGTTGTTAGAGCTCAAAGGATAATTGCCTAAAACTTGAATGATTTTAACTTGATCGCCAACATATTGGTAAATAAACGGTGGCACAGTGTGGGAGAGATATAAAGGAGAGGATAATGTCTCGAGAGGGGGCATTGTGTTATCAAAATCATCCTCCAAAAGCTCCTCGACGATAACTTCTTTATCCTTTAATTAAATAAAAAGTGCTAAGTCCAAATCAAGAATAATAACTCATAAATATACTAATAAATGCAATATCAGACTTAAGCAATGCCTTTAATCATGCAATAGAGAATAATGGTGCTAATTTATAGTGTACTTTCAAACGGAAGTAAAACAGGCTTCCAAACAGAACAATAATGAAATTTTATATATTTAGATTAATTGAATAAATTTGATATTTCAGCATGTCAAGTTTTGTTAAGTATTCAATACTATATTTTTGCTAAAAACCTTAAAGGTCATACTCATTAGAGCCACCCGCACCCGACCAGCGCCGCCTCGCCTCGAGAGGTTAGTATTCTTTGTATGGACTTCTATGAATAAGCGCTCATTACATCAACGCCGTGTCGACACCGATCGCTTCTGCTCCAATCTGGCCACGCGCGGACGGCGGGTGTACCACTCGGTGACGACTCGCTGATCGTCACGCTAGCCTTGCATGGACCGCGCGCTGCCGGCGAATGTACCACGCGAGGACGACGCGTCTGTTGCGTCTTTCATTTTCTTCTTCAATAAGCGCGACAGCTATGAGTGCCAATTCACAGTTTGTAAAATTTGACATTACGAAAAACACGTGTAGACCTAGTGGCAATGCTAACAGACTACTCGAAAATTCGTGGCCCAAGCGATGTCCACTCGTTGACCACTCGACGTTCACTCGTTGGCCACGCGAGGTTCATTGGTTGATCTCGCGACGTTCACAAGTAACAACGCGTCGTTCACCCGTGGACAACGAGTTGACACCTAACGACGAGGCGGCGCTGGTCGGGTGCCGGGTGGCTCTAATGAGCTATGACCTTAAATCGCCTGCAGCAGTGACCCAAAAATCTAAGATTTATCGAATTTCATATTTATTGCTTTGCTTGTGTACATTAGAATTACCACCATTACATTTAAATATAAATAATTTTCGATTGTAATTTTTCAAGCCAATAAACACATTTTACATATATTTCGTTCTATCACCGACTCTGTACGAGCACCATTCCTACCCTGCTTTTCTCATCACCGAACCCTTTCATCTTAGATTATATTACATCTCCAAGAACAATACATAATACTAAAGATTAAATACAGCTTTATATTGTCCCAATTGGGATATTAGACCGTATAGGAACATTATGCGTATAAATACTTCATAGATGTTATATTAATAAAGGAGATTAAATATTTTAAAATATTGTTTTTTTTTAAATTAGGAATTTAACACAAAATTGTAAGAGGCTGTTCAAATATTACGTAATCAGCTTTACTGCATTATTTCCCCCACCCCCCTCTTGTCAGCAAAGCTCCAAAAATAATAATACATAAACATATTAATTATTTGCAGAAATCCTCAAGCATAGACAATGTGTGAGTAATATGTGTGATAAAGTAAATAATTACTGTTGACGTAATCACCAAATAAGAAAATCAAAGATCTCCCCCCAAATAGTGCTTACGTAATACTTGATCGGCCCGGATTACAAATTCAATATTTTTGTTGAATAAATTGAAATTGCCACATTTAATCTCATCAAAATGAATTCAGCAGACCTCAGCGGCCTGCGGTCGTTTGATGGTCGTGACCGTAGTGCGGGTAGTTCTCGCTCGCGACCTCGCAGACGCGCCCACACTCGCCGTTCGTGTTAGCGACGTCGAATTGTCTGCGCTCGAGTAGCCGGAGCTTATGTCCTCTGTCGATTTTATATGGCTGAAACGGGACGGACATTTTTGAATTAATTTTATTTATTAAGAAGATTTACAGCTTATAACTAAATTATGTACTAAATATAAACAAACATTTTACGCCAAAATAAAGATCTTCACATATTGAGGCAAACAATAATGCTACTCCTCTTTTCGGAGGCGGAGCCTGCAGCCAGTTGCAACGCGAGCAGCGGACAATGCAAAATTTTCTACTAAACGTTTACTTTACGACTTTAAGAAGTTTCTTTTTCCTTCAGTAAGAAAGCAAAGCCTAGCCTAGAAACATTTACTATATGGATCTCTCCTCACGCGCACCTTTAATATAATTAAGTACTTGATAATTAGATGGAATGGTACAAAAAAATCATTTTAACTAATTCAACATGATATGGTGACTTGCATGACTTTGTTTAATAGATAGACTATCATGGACTGACTTAGTCCAATTGCCCTCTCAAGTACTCACCCGTCTCTTTTTTTTTTATCACAGAGTAAACACTATTCGACAGATAGAGACAGAGTACTTTAGTTAAAAGTGCAATTAATTAAATTGTGTAGATAAATCGACAGCTTTCGAACCTTCTATAAAAATCAGAACTCAGGAAATCAAAATATCCATTTGAACAATTTTTTCGTTATCTATTTCTTGAAATTTAATGATAGCCCTAAGTAAATTTCTGAGCTTGCTGAGTTATGGAACTTAGAACTTAGTGTGGTCAAGCCAGGAGAACATGTGTAATGTGAGTTTAAATATGAATACCAGCCAAGTGGAATATATAAAATAACCACCTAAAGTCTGGCTCTTCAAGTCTGGGTCGAGGTCGAACATCAACGTCTACTTCGGGGAAGTAAAGCGGCTGACGGCTGTTCGACTCCGATGCACTGCGTCGGGCCGCATAAGCGCTGGAAAATAATTTATTTTCATCAGCGTAACGTTTTAAAATTCGATGCATATTCAGACTAAAAATGTATCGTGCATACTTGATATTTTAGACTAATTTATATATTTGTTACAATTTTTTTACTAATTTTCATTTTATAGCATTTGTAATTACATAGTTGTATGTGTATTGTTGTGTGTTATAAATAAATAAAACAGCAAGCCAGCTTTTACGGGTAGAGTCCGACAGTTAGTTAAGAAGTTCACTAACTCAAAACACATTTTAAACCTACTAAATCATCTGTTTGAAGTCACAATAAATGAAACAACACTTGCAAAAACTGACAATCTCTCCTATAAAATACAATCCGTAACACCTCGACCTCCGTCGTTCCACAACTTAGCGTTTTCTAAGGCAGTTTTTGCCGCACACCACCACTTTGTGGAACCAGCTCCCACTGAAGTATTTCCGGAAAATCGACTTGGGTTCTTCAAAGGAGCGTACCACTGAAAAGCCGGAACTCACTTGCGAGCCTTATGGCAACGTGAGTGTCAGACGCATATCACTTAACATCAGGTGAGCCTCCTGCCCGTTTGCCTCCTATTACATAAAAAAAAGGTTGAGAAAAACATAAAGTAAAACCGGCACGTGAGAAGCAAGCGGCACAAACCATACTGTACGAGCCAAGGCTGTACATTTTGTTCACTCAGGCTATCTTAGTTTTATAAGCGTAGCGATTTCCTAAATCGTCGGAGTTACGCCCCGAGAGTATAGCCAGACGTAGGCTCTCTCTTCGACTATTACAATGCATTCATTCCTTATAAAATAAAAAAAATATGTTTATTATGGAACATAAGATACAGGTATCACTTATTCCACGTCATTAAATTTGAATAGGTAGACATCCCTACTCATCGGTCAAGAAGACAGAGGGTGTAGGCCGAGAGAAAAATCCAGCGTAAGTCTCGGTACTCTTTTAAAATAGCAAATCATCAAACAACACTTATTTTAAAACAAATATCGCAAATTAATTAGAAGTAGCCTGTCTAGCACTACCTATTAACATTTCATTATTTCGCTTTTATTCTATTGTTATACGCTTCTAAACGGGCCATATTTTGCTGCAATTGATGGCTGCACTGTTGGCAAGTAATTGTCCGCCCATTAGAAAAATATTTTAATGCAGCTGATGGCCGAACAATCTATGGCTGAGCAATGTGTTGCAATATGTCTGCAATAGTATGGCCCATGATGCAGACTCCTAAACGGGCTACACAAACTGGCAACAATGGCTGACGAAATCACACTTGTCGCAGCAGCTTATATTGTTTTAAAAAAGAAACAGTAAAATAAGAGATTGTGGATTCGACCTCACTTAAATAGGCGTGAAACTGTACACAATTTGAGTCTAGAAATAAGTCTTGATAATAAATTATTCAAGAACTAGAATGTCAAAAGCAGTCATTTTTACGTAGTAATCTAACGTCAAATACAGCTGATCGCAAAACACAGAATATAGCAACAGGCACATTTCACTCACAGCAAACTTCATGTCGCGTAGAAAAGGATACACTGTGCCATAACAAAGAGAGTGACTGAAACAACAATAGAACTGGCTGTGCAATATTGCAGTTGAATTCGATAGCTTAGCGATCGTCCGGCAACCCATCGGGGCAACATCGGCTATATGTGGCAATACAAAACATGTTTGGCTATATTGCCGGGACATTACTGCAATATTGCATAGTGTGGCTGCTATTGTTTGCAATGTTGCCGGGCCACAGTGTTTCAGCCATCAATTGCAGCAAAACATGGGCCGTTTAGAAGCGCCATTATTTAAAGCACCCCGATGACATACGGTACACTTACCTCTTGACAGCGCGCCTAATAAGCCTAGGTTCCGTCAACACATCGTCGACCTCATCGGCGGCGTGCTCTTCACGAGGCTCACACTCAGTCAAATCTGATAGACTGTAACTCTTGCGCAGCTGTTGAACTAAACCACCGCCTCCCTGGAAACAGTTTTCGCTAATTGAAAAAGGAATATTTGCTATTGATTAAAAATATTATGTAATTTTTGAAGGACAGTCAAATAACATATCGTGTGGTGATAATCAATTTGTTTTTACCCAGACCACAAGTATCGTATAAATGTATATTGGCTACTTCAATACTAAAATATCTTCCTTTATCCAGAAGTGAGCTTTCTTGTTTGACAAGACTTGATCTAATAATAAATAAGGCTATAATGGCCTCGATGTTATTTCCATTTAAAAAAAAAAGGGTAAGTGATAACAAATGCCGTACTAAATTTGTAATAGTGAAGAAGAAGAGTCCTTCTTTTGTAATAGTGTCGCAATTTATATATTTTGTACAGAGCAACGTTATTACAATTCACGAAAAAACAAAGTTATTATTGAAAGTTTTTTTCTCATTTTTATGCCATGGTCTTTTTAGACCTTTTGAAATGGCAAAAAGGCAGTTTGCGTAACCAAACTTTTATTCATCAGTACTTTGAAATAGTACTTCTCTAATGTTAAAAGGAACAAATAAGCAAATTATAGGACCAACATATTTACATAGGCCAAAATAAAAAGTTACTTTTGTTTACTTAAGCTAAAAATAACAAAATATACTCACATTGTGTTACACAAGCGTCGTGTGGGAAGCGCATGCGTGTTACTACTCGTGATACGGTTACTATTTAGTGGTTTTAATTAAGTATTCCATTACGACGTTAAATGATATTGGACCAGATCTAGTATTAAGTTGTAACAATAGGATTTTATACTCTACCAAAAATATGTTAGGATTATATTGGAAATATTATTGAATTTAAAAAAATTGTAACTATATAATCGCATGGTTACATTGAACGAGGAGTGTGGTATTGAATGTCTGAGTGACAAAAAATATTTTCAGCTAACCATAAATAATCGTGAGAAAAGACGCTCCAGATTTAAAAAAATGTGTGCGAACTTATGTACACGCGTTAGATGTTATAATTCTTTGGTGTAACAAAATAAAAATCTTTTAAAACATTTTATCTTTCGCCTTATTCTACGTTTGTGGAAAAAACGACGCAAAAAGAGAAAAAAGGTATTTAATACATTTATTATAACGCATTATCTAGTTAAATGAAGTTTATTTAAATATCACAAAAATAATATTTCTAAATAATTAAAGAAATGGACATTTTTTTATTTTAAAACTAACTTCAGGGTGTCGGTTTTTTGTTAGTTCGGTGTGCGCGCGCATCGTAAAAATTTACTCTCATCATTTTCCCCTAACGCGCCAAAAGAAGTATAACTTTAAAACAAAACAAATCAAAATTGTGATAAACTGTATTCTCTTTAACTGTGTGAAAGTAGCGCCAAAAATATGTCATAATTACTTAAAATATCGTAATAAAATCCAAGTCGGATTAACTATCGTTTATTTAAGAGTATAAAAACAATAACACTAATTCAGTCATACATTACAAACTACGAACACAAAATACACACGCTGACATGCGGAAAATACCAAAGACAATTAAATATATCGAGCACTGAAGTTTCCTGACACATGTCAAACAAAATGTTGTGTCAATGTCACACAGGTTACGTATGCATAGATTATTCAAATTTGTATGAAAATTCGCGTAATATTAAAATTATTTTACCGACTACCACTACAATATTTGACATTTTGCAAAATATTTTGTTTGACTAACGATTTCAGTAAAAAGCTTTATAATCATTGCCTATATTTAAATCTCTTTGGAAAACTAAAAACGTACACAAGCCATTTTATCTGATTGTAATGTGGGAATATCTGCCAAATTATGCGTTAAAATGTACTGAATGAGATCTAAGTGATGACAAAATGAAAAAAAAAAACTAAAGCTTATAGTTTTTATATAGGAATTAAATGTGGTTGTAATATGTACGGAACAAATTGCACCCATAACTAACTTCAACGGCAACATTTCATAGTAATTAATGCCATTTGCATAAAAAATTGGTTTTCAATCATTTATTTTGACAATTAACATCATCGAGTGAAGTCAGGAACTGAAGATTGACAGCCATCGTGAAGAGAAGTATTTCTAGTTTATACCCTGTATTACGATAATTGAAAAAGTTTTTACCGTTTAGTATCACATGAGAAAATGTGAATAAAAATAGTGTTAAATATTAAAAAGTTAAACAATAAAACACCGACGTGAGATGCCGAAAGTAAAATAAATGAATAAAATCCGTTATTGTCAATCTTTGCCATATATGATTTGTTAATGCAGGAATACATAAGTCTACAAAGTAAAAAGCTCTTTGAAGGATAGAAGATACGTTTAGAGCACAGCATTTTTCAAGCGGTGATTGTTGTTTTTTCGAATATGGAGCCAAGAAGACTACGCAATGCAAATACACAACCAACGAGCCACGCCACTAATAATCCTATCAAATTTATCATTTGTCAGCCGAAGTTTATTATCATTGTCAGCAAAAAAATCCGACTGAATGTTTTTAATTTATGTATTAAATTTACTGTATTTATTTTATGAAAATTTCTTTTTTTAAACAGGCCCTTAACGTTATTTATCTACTATAGTTGACTTTATATTCGGTCATCGCCAAACAATAATTCAATCAACCAATATTTCATCATTCTGTTTCTCGACGGCTGCTTGACTCCTGGTTCTACGACCTCTCGATCTACTTCTCGCTTTCTTTTCCTTTGTGGGTTTGCGTTTACGTACGACATTACCACGGCTCCTGGCCGCGGATTTATCTGGGTCATAATCTGCATCGTCCAATTCCTCTATTTCATTATCGTTTAACTCTACGATTTCCACCATTCCCGGTAAGTTGTCGTCGTCGCCGCGTTGATACTCCATGTTCTCATATGGATACCCGTCTATAGCGTCCTGAGATGCCGGTACAGCATTTGGCAGATTCAAGTTCTAAATAGGGTTCAATGGGATACGGTGGGTGGGAGGAAATTAAAAAAGCGTGTTAATAAATGTATAAAAAGCGGTGACTCGTGATTGGCATGCCCAGTGACGCATGACGTGGATATTTGTGGTCACTAGCAGTTTAGCGTTATTAAGGATAATCGGACTGTTGAGGGCTTCTAGAAGATTTATTCCATGAAAGGAAAATATGGGCTACATACAGCAATTACAAATAGCACGGGGTTGTTCATTGATCACGTGATTTTTCCACGTATTTCTATAGAGAGACTAAACTCTAATATGTACGTAAAGACGAAGTATAATATTTATTATCAGTATCCAAAATTGTCCAGTATTCTGTTCAGAATTAAATATCTCACTAAAATTTGTAATATTTCCCTCATGAATAATGGACGACCCCAAAGTGCTATCACGACTAGCATCTAATATAAATTATCTAACACATGTAAATAAAAATCATATCAATGAAAGCATATAAAAAGATTTAAAAAAATATCCACAAAAACGTAACTAAACATGCCGCAATCACATCAAAAAAAAAAAAAAATTATCAAAGTGAACAATTTTAAATTGTTATACCATATTCCTCGCATTATACTTCAATAAAAACTGGTATTTCTAAAATTTGGTTACTACTATCACATATGGAACAATTATTTACTTTCAAATAAACAGTTTTTCTTATCAAATCAAAGCAATAAATGTTGGTTGTGTAGGAACCAGAATTTGAAAACACATTGTTCATTTTTTTTTAATAAAAAATTCAAGTCTATTATTACAAATAAATTTAACATGCCATCAAACATTATATCTAATGTCCCATGAGACATATAAAGTAAAAACACTTATTACATTGTGTAAAGTCTCAAAATGTATTATTATCACAATATATCTAAAACATTGGTACACGTTATAGTACAAATTATATGTTATAAAAAACTCAACTATCATCAAAAAATACCAGTTATTATTATTATTAAACAAGCATGCCATTAAAATATGTCAGATTTACCTTTATGGCGGTTTGCATAATAACTGTTGTGGCATAGTTGACGCCTTTGGTGCCGAGATTTAACACTGTGTGGTAACCCTGATCTTTGGCTTTAGCTATGTACTCATCTATCTCCTGGAAAAGAACATATTCGTTTGTGAGTAGTGTTGGCCTAGTGGCTTCAGTGTGCGATTATCATCCTTGAGGTCTTAGGTATGCTCCCCGTGCACTAATGGAATTTCTAATGTGCCCCATTTAACATTCGCTCGGACGTTGAAGAAAAACATCGTGACGAAACCGACTTCCCTTAGACCCAAAAAGTCAACGCAAGTGTTGGACACAGCAGGCTGATCACCTACTTGCCTATTAGATTGCCAAATGGTCATGAAACAGATTTAGAAATCTGAGGCCCAGACCTAAAAAGGTTGTAGCGCCACTGATTTATTTATTTTATACGCGCACGTATTCGTACCCATAGTATTAACATCAGGATGGAGGATGGTCATTTGTGAAGTGATATAATGTATTAAAGAAAATATTTGAGTAAATGAAAAAATATAAATTATGTAACGAGCGCCTGTATGAATATATAAAAAGTGTTCGGCAATATGGATTCTTTATCTTTACACAAAGTTTGATCAATTTAGTGTAGCGGTTTAAGTATAAAATCACTGACACGTATCTTTTGTCGTTTGAAATGCTATTTAATATAGTAGGGGAAAATATAGATTGTGCAACAAGGCCAAAAGAAAAATGGACCCAAACACGATAAAAGTATGTAAGAACTAACCAAGGTTTCAATCCATACTTAATAACAATAGTTAGACATGAATCATTTCAAAAACCTTCTAAAGGTCAAGTTTAGTTAGCTAACGAAATTCAAAATTCTACGCGATATATTAATTATGCGCAAAAATTTGCAATAACTTTTAGATTAAAAACAACCGCACAATCCGTTTAGTTACATATTTTTAATGAATTGTCACGTAACATTAGGTTTATGGATTGTTAATAAATGTTTATGTAGACCAGTATTTACCAACGTGTTGCCCAAATAATGTGTTGCTAAAATTTACTCATTGTGTTTTGTAAACGATTCCTAGTAATTTCTTGCTTAAACCTATCATTTGAGTTTCTTAAGTGAACAGTAAATTTTTTAAATATTAATTATGTTAGATTCGGGGCGCATGGCACAAAAAATGTCGGAAATTACTGTTCTAGATGCTGTAAGACTATTTTAGAGGAGGTTAAAGGAAACTTCCTACCTATACTTAAATGAAACCCCGTCATGTTATCGAGAATTGTTTAAATTAATCAACAATTATCGTATGTCACATAAAAAGGCTAACAGACAATATTGTTTAATATTTACGACAATTAAATACTTATACTCTACAACTCAATACCGTACCTGTTCACGTCGGCATAACGCCGGATGCACAAACTTCCGGTAGAGTATGGAAGAACCTTTGGTGGCCGGCGACAGCAGCCATAGGACTAGAACGATCTTCACCTCGTAATAGAACGGAAACCAGGAGAGGAAGACATCTGTGAACGTCTCTGTGCACGTGAACAGCGCGAACACTATCCAATACATCATCCATTTTACCTGGAATGTCAAGTTAACAATTTAAAATGAGTCCTCAAAAAAAGTTCAAATAAAACAGAGTGATTTCTGCTACTGTTTCATTTCTCTCTGTCAAAAGTCAAAAATCATTTAATCATATAGGTAACACAATGTACACTTATGATCGTCAAAAAAACGAAATGTATATGAAATGCTTCTAACTTTATATTTAGTGCCAGTTCTCAAATCAATGGCGTAGAATGGAAGAGAAGAACTGGCAATAAACTCTCCGTACACAAAAGGATTTCACTGACGTAGTGAAATCCTTTTGTCTAATAAATCACAAACATTAATGAATGTTTATTATATTTACGTGTAATTTTTTTCTATTTGGTTTAAAACGCTTACGTGTTCTGAACTATTTCCGCGTAAAGTTTATACATAAATAAATATTATTGTATGTTACACGCGAGCCCAGCTTCCTAAACCTTACCGATCCGGTGATCTACTTATTAGCTGAAATATCATCTAAATGAAAAGCTAGAGGTGTCCTTTACCTGAGAACTGAAGCGTTTCGGACAAATTACGGCGTGTACAAGGCTAGGTGGAGTTTTGTAAGCGTTTACACTAATGTCTGCCCTTCTAATTCGGAGACGAAATAATTAAAAAACTTTGCTTTTGGAATTGTTTAAATGAAAATTATCTTTGGATTTGATGTACTAGCTAAAACACGTTTGTTACGACTAAACCGTTTGTTATACTGAAAATTAAAATTAGAAAATTTACAACACAATAAAAATAGACGATATTCTTAGCTTAAGAAATTGGTACTCACGTATTCTTTTAGGTTCTTTGTTCGTACAGCTTTATATGAGGCGTATGCCGGGTAGAGCGTACCAAATACCAATCTGCAAAAGGGATAGACCACCAGATAAGACAGCATCTTCGGAGCCAAGAGTCCAGTCACAAGGGACAGTAGACCGAAGTTCGCGAACGTAACGCTAGGAATGCATCTCTCCAATGCTACTCCAACGTTGCTGAAGAGAATATTCAGCACTTGGCCTCTCGACAGCGCGAGAGGCAAGTCATAGTATTCATAGGCTTCAGAGTTTCCTTCGTATTTAACAAGTGATTTTTCTAAGGCGTTTCCAGCGACACGAGCGTATCGTGCCTCTAGTTGGGTGACAATGTGGCGAACACTCGTCACGCCGAGACTGAGCGACAAGACAGGGTTGTCGTCACGGTAACGCGCTTTCGTTTCCATGGATACGCATACGAATAATTACTTTGTCCGAGTGCGAACTTAATTCATATTGTGCCGTTGTACGCCGACTGAACGATTTATTACGACTGGGATGGAATCATTCGAAGAATTGCGTGTTTATAGATCAATATTTAGGTCATTACATTTCAGTTAAAAACAATATTAATAAACTTGGGTTAATTGTAATTAGAAAGGAACGTGACTAAGCAGTCGTGGGCGACCGCGATGGATGCAAGGATGTCTCATGAATAATGGATTTTAGCCTCAAAGAGTAAATTCAAAGCATTATTGGTACACCTACATGTTATGTAGTTATTTTTGTCCTATTAATAGAGGATACCGATTCAACCAAGACGAAGGTGCTTAGTTACAAAGTATTGTATCCAGTTTTAGAGAGGAGGAACGTAGGAAACTGCAAGTAGCAAAATCAAAGAATGCCCTCGATATTTTCATTGTTTGCAATGCACTGTTTAGCACAATATCATAATAACAATACATTGGATACACGAGTCACTTAGCAAATATGAATAATAAAGAACCGGACGGACATTTTATGCAACTCTCGGCTTCGGTTTAAATTGCTCTAAACTGTTTGATTGCTCTTTCCATTATCAAGGTGAACTCGCAACTCACATCACAAAGACCTCTAATAAATAGACAAAGATTATTGAGAGATATTATTATCGACACACTAGCAGCTTAATAAGCTGATCGGTATTTTGAGATTTGGAGAAACTATATGCCTTATATTTTCCTGTTAGGCTGTTTTTCCCACTTGCCCCCCCCCCCCCCCCCATATGCTCTTTCCATTTTCCTTAAGACCGCTATGTTCACATGTAACGCGCGTTTACCCCCCCCCCCCCCCCCCCCATTTTTACCCCCCCCCCTTTCGAGACTGAGCGCTAACGCGCGTTGCGAGAGTACTCGAGCAGTCTAGTTCGGTAGAACGTAGAAAATGGACGTGGAAGAGGTATTATTTTGTGGTTATATATAAAAAGAAAACAATAGAAAAAAAAATCCAATTTTGAAAAAAAATACAATTTATATTATATATTTTTTACAGATTTGCTATATTCCAACTTGCTGACTTTTAATTTATATTAGTATGTATATGTCAACACTTCCCATTTTAAGGAAATATAATTACGAAAATTAATAAAGCATGCGATGCGATGAAAGCGCGCGCCCCATCTGAACACAAACGGACATTACTTGATAAGCGCGCGTAACGCGCGATCTGTTTGAGATTTTTTCGTGGACGTAACGCGCGACTATATGCCTTATATTTTCCTGTTAAATCGATTTTCGTATGTGTTTGTTATAAAACAAACAAAAGAATAACCAGCCCTAACCATACGCTGACCCCTCGCATAGAAGCGTTCTTTAAATAAAAGATGCAATTGTACCGATGCACGATCGTGTAAATTTATAAATAGAAAAATACATATGTGCCAGTCATTTCAAACAATGCATGTACTTGCCAGTTAGTAAACGTTCATATACACGTCTTAACGATATTGATTTTATACAGTAATTATATGCCCTTCAAGATTTATCAGTCGCAATTAGCCTAACTTGTTCTACTATTAAGAAAATACACGATTCATTATAGAATGATAACCTCGTATGTCAAAAAACCATTTATTTTTTATTCTTAGACTCATGTCATTTAACTGGTATAATCATGAAGTAAGAACTTATTTATGTTATTAATAAATAAGTCCTTTTACCATCTAAATCTATGGACAAAAACACATAATAATATTTTAAGGAACATAGACGAAATGAAACATTTTTTTCGTTTCCTGTAATGTTTCTACATTCAACAGCGACGATATATCAAATGATATTAACATTGCTGACACATAAGCCTAGTAACCGATCCTAATACGCAAATGGCTAGTTTCACAATATCCTAAAATAAAATCTTGCTCATCGCATTTGCCCCATTTACGATAAGCTTTCTTAACCACGTTCCAATACTAAAATAGTCCTTAATACTTCTGGAATGCATAATAGGTCAAGAACCTCAGTTCCGGTAGGCGATGCACACGAAATGAGTGAATGAAATTTTATTATTATTACTGGTTCCTCAAGTAACCTAATTAATTCCAGGCTCTCTACGCACCAAATATGGCATCATATCGTGATACATGCGTCGAATTCAAATTTGTGTCATATTATACGTGATATGGAATGTCTCTACGCACAATGCTAATTTTACAGTGATTGCGTGGAAAAGACTCATAATCTTTTTTTGGAGAAGTCGTTGGTTAATATTCATAACTATCAAAATAAAACTATAATTTTGGATATCAAAACGCAAACATACTTTATTTATTTATTTACACTACGTTACATTTATAGAAGAACAAATAATACATGAAAATTATAAGGAATACAACGGGCGGCCTTATCGCTTACAAGCGTTCTCTTCCAGGCATCCCTAGTAAGGAAAACACTAAAAACAGAAATATGATGGGTACTTTAGTAATGCTATCGGCGGCCCCTTCATAGGTACCAAAAGTATTTGTATGTGAACAAATATTCTAAGGGAAAATTATTTATTCGTTAAGAGCTTCTTGGACAATTGTTTTATGAGAAAATATTTTTGTTCCTGTCTGGAATGGAGTAAAACTGTAAGTAGTACTGTCTCTATTTTTTGTAATACAATGACGAAAATTTGGATATTTCAGTTTCCTTAGTATTGTTGGATATGACAGATTTTTTTTTTAAATTTTGGATAAAATCAATTTAACATGAATCTCTGGGAGGTATAAAACACGAATATAATCTTTAAATCTTGACAATATAAATCGAATAACAAATTAATTGACTTTTGCATAAATTTTTTTATCAAAACTTTTTGGAGCGTAAAAATACCCTCAAACACCACAACTAGTATTCATAAGACCAAAACTCAAATGTTATTTACTATTAGTAAGAAAATCAATGAAAAAATTCAGTACTTCCTGCCAGGAGTCAGTCAAGCGTTCGACAATCTATTACAATTTCAAATGAGTTCATGTTGAAATCTAGTGTTGATTTGGTAACAGACTTATACAGTTAATTAGGTGTTTTAATACTTCCCAGAATCCTTAACGGTAGTATGTAATAAAATAAATAAATCGTTGATAAAGAAATTTGGAACTATGGAATATTTTAAAAATTCGTGTATGCATGTTAGTTATATCTCTTCCATGTATGTATTTATATTATTAGAAATGTCCTTATTCGTGCACAGAAACATACATATTTTTAAGTCAAATGTAGAAGTCGAAGTAAGGAGATTGGCTGTGCCAAAAATCAATCTGGAACTGTTTAGGAAAAACAACTTTTGTCATTAAGGTCTACAATAATTTACCAAAAGAATTAAAAGATCTTCCGGCTAGAGTTTATAAAGCGCCTTGGTGTATTACTTTTGGAAAAAATTTACTATTCAATAAATGATTATTTGCGTGAGACACTGTTATTTAATAACGTATGATATGTACGATAATAATATAAGAACTGACCCATTCATATGACTTATAATGTAAAATTCCTCAAAAGACAAATTTGCGCGCCATTGTGTGTGGCAGAATATACGAACTTACGATTGTACCACCTTACACATTTGTGTACCATATTCTTGCATTAAAATTATTATTATTAGGTATTTTGTGTACGCTTTTTAAAGTATAACAATTTCATTTGTACCATAAAATTGTAAATTATGTATATGGTGAATTTCTTTAAAGTCCGGTGCAGGATGTAACTAATATGTATAATCAATTGTAGTTTTTAACGAAACAAGATGAGTCTGAAGCTGAGTAGATGACAAAATAAAACAGAATTAATCTCTATACTTTACTATCAAATATAAATTACAGCAACTGTTAGATCTTCATAATAAATCGTAATACGTATAAGAGGTTTGGGTTGTGATGACATTGTAAGCAATTTGGTAAATATGTATAAGTCAAGTAACTAGGTTAGGGCACAACGAGGCTGCGCCTAAAAAGGCAAGACCGGCCTGAATAAGAACATAATATTTCTCAGTCAAGGTGTACGACCTCCGGACAACGCGAATAAGACCACACTCGGAACAGATAAGTAGAAAGACCGATTGACAAAATGAATCACACTACAGTTAGGTGTCAACGCACTTCACTTGGATTGCAGTATAAGCAAGCGATCGTCACAGACTAAAGCTTGCACAGCACACCAGCATCGTTGGGCCGCTCCGAAAATAGCACCCGGCAGTGCACTGGGCCACTATGATGACGAATTCCGAACCAACGTTCGACTAACGCTCCTTTGTTTCTTCCAAATGACACAGTTACAAAGATTAACAAAAAAACATCGAAATTTATATAGCCGTCAGTACTTTGTCTAGCTGATGACTGAATGTGAAATAAAAGTGAAAAGATGGGTGCTGCCAATTTTAAGGATAGTTGTTCTGTTTTAAGAAAAGTTGGATCTTACGCCAGCTGCAGTTAAAGTTCTAGTTTGATAAATGGGCTACTAAAACATTTGTGCGACATAAATACTAGAATTATTTTATGTAGACGATTACATATTAAGCCAATAAATTTTGAATGAATATTACGAATTCCACATCCAATCATATTTCCAAAAAATTTCTGATTAGTTACCATGAATTCTTAAATGTTGTGATAAGATAATTATAATAATGGAACAATAATTTTAGACACTATAAAGACAATAATAATTGATAATAACAGTTGCAATTTATGGCAATGTGGCCAATTAAGGGGAATATTCATATAAAACTCAATTCTTATATTATTCTCATATTATATCAGAAAGAAAACTACACATACATTGCATGCTTATTATATGTATTCCATGTCTATAGGATTATTGTGGTTTCATACCGTTTAAAAAATTTACTTTGTGTTTAAACAATTCCATAATAATTAAAAACTTAACAGTATTTTAAATAACTAAACTTTACTTCTTCTGTCGTTAAATGTTAATTTGGATGTAGTAACAATGTCCACAACAAATAAACAATTTTCAAGTTCGAATCCAAGTTCATTCAGAAATATTGGAACCAATGCTAGGCTAGATACTTATTATCTAAAACATACAATACAGACATACAGCACACACAAATAGATAACCAACTCCTACATTACAGCAGTACCACTGAGAATTGAGCGGCAAAAAAGATCAATTTTAACAGCTTAAAAACATATGGTAACCAAGCTGTTCTGGAGTTGAATAAAAACCACTTCCAAAAATTTGTAAGATAGTCCTTGCAATTTGAAAATTAGTGCTTTGTAGCAAGAATGGATTCATTATTACATCAATTAAAATCAGATAATATTGAAAAATATTATTTTTTCTATTTGTAACAAATGAGAACCAATCTACATTTTTTTGAAATCATAAATTTAGTATTGAAGAAAAGAATATTAAGTAAAATAATTATACATAATCATAATGTATTCATTTATAAGTTTATTAGCAAAAAATTATGAATATAATCATAATGTTTATTATGTGTAATTTATAGAATATATATTATAAACGTATAACTAAAATATGTATCAAGTCTAATGCCTAATACAAAGTCGAATAAGATAAACGATAGTGTAATAACAACAAAATTATCTTTTATTTAAGGACAAAGAAAATTTTCAACCATTATCAATAGATGATTTAAAATGTTAACGTTTTCAAATTAAATAGTAATAATACTTACATAACCAAACGTGAAATTATCGACGATATCATATTAAAATCACGTAAAAAGATTAACAAAAACTTTCACAAAAGAAAACATGACAAAACACGACTGCCCTGTAAAATGTTGTTGGACTAATCCGCCATATTTAAAATCGAAAATGTTTTGATCACGTGACTTAAAAATCGATCATAGAGTGACATTTGCGTTCTGAAACGAATAGTTAAATAAAGACCAAAAAAATAATAATTTATCTATTAATTTTATAACAAAACTGTACGACATGTTTTTTTGATTTATAAAAATTGTTGAAACTTACTGAAAATCTATCATAATTTTTTTATATATAAATTTAAATATGCGACATCTCTGTTATAAAACATAAACAACTACAAATCATATGTTAGGTATGGAATACACTACGGAAACTGAAAACTCGTAAAGCCAATGCTATGATGTTCCAGCCAAGTACATATATAAAATGGTCGAGTTATACTCCGCTGATTACTATACGTCTTATTATCGGAGGGTACTGTAAACTAGAGGAACATTGATAATTTTCATCTCTTAAAACTGGTCGAGTTAGCATTCATTCGGTTTGGAACTTTTTTTTATTCACTTTCATAGTTTCTCTTCGTTCGGCGTGCGGTGAAGTGTACTATGCGTTTGAGCGTTTATTGACGTTTGTGTGTTTTTACTGTGAATGATGTGATGGTGTAGTTCGTTATGGCCTTTAGATATCGAGAAGATTTAGTTGGCAAACGATTTTTATCTGTGAGTGGTGTGACAAAAATTGATGTGAATAAAGCCTCCGAATGGGGATGGAAAGCTGGTGTTATCAGGGCAGCATCCCACAAAGATAATAAGAATAGAGATCTACAGGTAATTTTTACGATTATAATTTTGTAATTGGTAATATTTTGTAGTTAGTTTAAGTCATTACTTCGATGGTTAACCCGCCTTTACATTATGACAACTCTTCCCGGTTACTTCCGCATAGCGTATAAGTTTACGATTAGTAGGTACACTAATGATTATGTACATAATACCTAGTTGTACTTATAGGATATAAAGCACAAGTCCAATGATATAAATTATTATGTTGGTACTTGGGCATTGTACGAATAGATTTTTTTTAAATATAGAAGCATCCGATAATCACCTGTTTCCACTCGGCAAGTTTGCGTCAAGTGCATTCGTTTTAGGAAAAGCATTATACTATGGTATATTGTTAATCATTATGTTATAACCTAATTGGTAAATAATTTGAGAATTAAAATGTCACACTTATAAATAAATTAGTAGTGCATTTGCTTGTCAAGAAGCCTGATTCTTCATAATTAAGCTTTCTGAATAAATATGATCAATACAAGAATTCACATATTAAATTCTGTAGTAAAAATTAAATTCTTTATGAATAAATGATATATAGGTGTTGCAGTTTATGCGGCAGCTATAAATACCACACTTCTTACTAACAGATTCCCCTTACTTCCGCGTCTAGTAGAAAAGTCGCTAAGGTTACGCAATGAGGTAGCACCGACAAATAAATCATTGGCACTAGTGCCGTATATCGGGATTAGGAGTTAAACAGAATGCACATGACTTGGAGTTCATCGACCCTCGTGTACCGATGCACCGGCCGTAGCGTTGAACTGAGCCATGTTCGCCGGCCAGCCCCAAGACCAGCGACAAAAAAGAATAAAACCGATCTGCCAACGATTTGAAAAAAGAAAAAATATCGGGCTCAACATCAAAGAAAATCGTTGGGATAAAAGCGTTGACTTTACGGGTGCTTAAACCTGTTTAGATTCAAGAATTATTTTTGTCTTTATTGTTCAATGGGCCATCAAGAGGTTTAATAACCTCAGTGTTTTATCCCAGAAAAATAAACGAAACCCTGTTGATTAGTTTTCACTTGACACAATGATAACTTGTCAAGCAGTCATTGCACTTTAAATAAAACATTCAATATGAAGTCTTGAAGAGAAACGAAGAAAGCGCGAATCAACGGAACGCGACGTTGCGTTCGCTCCAATCCAATGTTGTTCATTTATAAATAGACGCCGTCTTTCCATTGCACAGCTCTCCCGCCAAGAGTGTGAAATCACAGCCAACGTACGAGCACAAAGATTTCATTTGTTTCGATTACCTACTTGATATCAAGGCGATGCAGTAACATGATTAGCAATGTTACATAATAATATGTAAGCTACAAACTTAAAGATGGCCAGTGTTTTTATACGAGTATAAGTATTAAGTACAGTTACTTTACGATAGTATGCGAAATATTTGTAGGAAGCAGTGCTGCTCACGTTTTACATGCAAAAATATATTATTTCTATTAAATTGCTTTAAATATTCGATTTTATGTATTTTTCGTGCTGCTGTTGTATTTATAATGACTATTACTTATTAGATATTTTTGGTCAGCGATCATAAACTAGGATTGACGCAGGTTATCCGAGTTTTGACATCTTTAAAGTCTTGTCTCTGATCCCATAGAAATTGACAGATGAGTCGTTGTCGATGACATCGTTTTAAATGTCTATAAAATTCCTCCATTTCGTGTAAACAAACAAAGATATCACAGTTTGTTCGTTTGTTGTACAATTCCTACGAAGTCTTATCTTAGCTTCTTTGCAAAGATTTTATAGACCATTGTTCTGTCGCTGAGTTCTAAGGAGGCGCCATTGTACACGCGAAAATGTCCCTTGTCTACCGTCAATGGGAAGTAAAAGGAAAATTAAATTTAAAATAACAAGCATGAACCTTCAGTTGATAATGGAAAACATTAATTTAATACAACCTTGACGTCAAAGTGAGATATTTTGATGATACAGAAGACATAAAAAATAATTATTTCATACTCTTAAATGTTTATTTTTGTTGTGCAAATGGAACACATATGTTTTTGCTTTCTAGGCCATAGGTTTCCGATCAAATGATTCAGCAAAAACTTGACTAGGTGTGTACCACGATTTCAGCCGCGTTTATTCTGGCGTTATTAGGTAAAGCTGGGTGTCCTGAACGCGCTTAGCATTCAAAATTACCTTATAGTATATATGTATATGTTGTTTCATTTTTGTTTAACATTATCTATATCAATTACCCCAAATTCAAATTCAAAAATCATTTATTCACGTAGGTAACACAATGTACACTTGTGATTCGTCATTAAAGAAATAAATATTAATGCTTCTAATTTTACATTTACTGCCAGTTCTCAAATCAAGGGCGTAGAACGGAAGAGAAGAACTGGCAATAAACTCTCCGCCACTCTTTTTAATCGCCATGTTTTTTGTTTTGTTTTTTTTTTATGGTATATTTACCTATAAGCTGTTTTTAAGGCAAATAAAAACGGAGATGCAAATCAAACTTATACATTTTAGAAATTGTTACAGTGCTGAGAGATACAACTATTTCTATATCAATTACACAGCTGATAGCAGAGTTGTGCAAGTGGCAGTGGCGTGCACAAAGATCGCTAGGGCGAGGGCGGGAAGTGGGTCAGCGGGGTGCGGGAGGGGTGGGCCCTTAGGCCACTTATCAAGCGAACGGGGCCGCTAGCGGGGAAAGCGTATCTTAGTTTTGGTAGATACTGTTTATTTATCCATGGTGTCGTATGGTTTCGTGGGAGTTGGGCGTTTTCCATCATTGACCACTTCCGAAAACAACTCTGAATAGGCACTATATATAAATGATATGTCGCTAAACAAATAAATCTTGTTTTTTTCAACTTGCTTCTATTTATTCTCTTATGTATACAGAAATAATACGTGGCATTATTTCTGTATGGAATACGTTTTAAATATCAAAAGACACTATTATATGTACGTATATTTAAGGATGCTATCAAAGGTACTCATCATCATCCGCTGATCGAATACACGGAAATAATGAAAAAAAATCACGCTTTATAACCTTGACGAACATCGACAATGTAGTCGGGTACATATTTTAAACGAGAGAGCCTTAGCGATACAGTCGTGGAAGTTGAGGTCGCATCAGCGCTACCTTTTTCGTTATGTTCTGTACTGTTAGGTCATTACAGGTCGAAATAACATTTGTGATGAAAATAATCCCTAACTTTCGTACTAACTGATCTGAAATTACCGTGAGTCATGAAAACTTTTTCTTTTTCACGTGTCCTTTTTTATTATTGTCCCTTTCACTGTTTACAGATGTTTTGATTGCTTTGATTTGTTACATTAGTTTTGTCTAAGTAACTATATATTGTATGTAGTGCACTTCTTGCGCCCTCATCAACATTTTTTTCTCACAGTGGTTGCATGGAAGAGATCCCTCGAAAGCGATAAGGCCGCCAGATGCCCTCCTTTTTATTTAATTATTTTAATTGTACTGTATTTCTGTATACTAGCAACGAACTGTTAATAAATATGTAACTATATAAATAATATAATGTTCGTAAATACCTAAAATGACGCAAATTACTAACTAAACCAGACCTAACCAACTAAATCTAGACAGACTCAGGGTCTAAGGTACAAAGTCGAGAATCGCTAAGCATGGCATCGTGGTATTTAGCGGTATATGACAGATTGGCTATCGAATGATTAGACCTATAACTACGCTAGTCTCCAAAGTGCTAATGGCATTGGACTCATATAAACTCAAAATTTCATCCGCATCACCGTAATGGCTGGAAGTCTTCCACATTCAAAAGATATTTTCTTTTGCGAACTAGCGAACTGTGGAATCGATTACCGGTCTTCCCTGGGAGATACGACCTCCAATTGTTTATAGAGTATACTCCTACCTCAAAGGCCGGCAACGCGCCCGATAAAATGGGTGTCAATGCGCTGAGATGACTGCTCTTTTTGGGCGGCGGCTTCTATCCTATAAAAAAAATAACAAATATTGTGTATCAAATAACCTTACAACAATATCTTAATACATATATATAAATAACGTGTCACATTTTTTGTCCGCTATGGACTCCTAAACTACTTAACCGATTTCAATCAAATTTGCCCACCATGTGCAGTTCGATCCAACTTAAAAGATAGGATAGCTTACATCTTCATTTATACCCGTAATATTGTTTTATTGCGAATTATTTGTTTATTATTTAACAGTCACAATTCTAACAGATGGCGCTGCCTTGAAAGAACCAACGTTTCACATAAGCTACAATTTAATGGCATAACCAAAAAAGCATGGTCCCCATGGGTCCCCATGACTGGTGTTCTCCTACCGTTTCCCTTGAATAGTTTATTACTATGTAATATAACAAAAACTTTAGCCACAGCAAAGCTTGGCCGAGTCTGCTAGTATAATATAAAATGAAGTCACCCGGGCTTCTTTGTTTGTATGAACGCGATAAACTCACAAACTTCAAACGGAGTTTTGTTTGTCACCAATAAATAGATGGTTCCACAATCTGGTGTATCATTTATGAAAATTGATTGAAATATAGCTATTATTGTTGAAATGTCGCAAAAATGTTGCCAAAATACACGAAGCTGCTAGCGGAAGATCATATAGTTTAAAACTAATGCAAAAAGGCTACACTGTTTATAATCCGCACTTGTGTAACTGTCTATGCGAGGCGGTATCACTGACCGGGCCCCATGTTCAATAGAATATTATTTTTATTTTTCCTATTAAACATATATGTTACTATGTGTAGGTGTGATTTATTACGACCTCGCTAAAGCCCTTCGTAACCTGCGGTGGCCTCCAAGTTTGTAAAACACGTTCTGATGAGCTCTTGATGAGGGTACCTTGGGCCAAAAACCTGATAAAGTACTTGTAACGTAAACAACTTTCTAAATGTTTATTATTGTAACAATATTATACGTTTTTTTTAGAACAGGTAACATTACATTTACTTGATTTATGGAAGGTGCATTTGCTATTTGGCTTTCATAAGGAAAAGCAAAAGATAGATAATTATATTTTTTATATGCGTGAATTAAATAGCTTTATAAGAATTAAATTAAAACTAACCCGAGCTCCTTATCTCCAATGATTAAAGATAATTTTATCTAGAAAAACACATTTTTTTATTCTTCTATAAAAATAAATCGGTGGGGCTACAACATTTTTAGGTCTGGGCCTCAGTTTCTGTATATCTGTAATAGGCAAGTAGGTGATCCGCCTCCTGTGCCTGACACACGTCATCGACTTTTTGGGTATAAGGCAAGCCGGTTTCCTCACGATGTTTTCCTTCACCGTTCGAGCGAATGTTAAATGCGTACATAGAAATAAAGTCCATTGGTGGACAGCCGGGGATTGAACCTACGACCTCAGATGAGAGCTGAAGCCGCTAGGCCGACACTGCATTTTTCTCGGCAATAGACTGCTATGAAAATAAATTTGAAATAATGATTTTTAACTGTTTTTGTTTTGACAATTATCTGTTATAAATCTTACGTAGATACATATATATCAATACCGCCAACCAGTCCGGCTACTCTGTAATTTCAATACCGCTTCCAATAATTGACTCAGTAATTAGTATCTATTGTGACAGTAAACCCCTAATGACGTTATTAAAATTTCAATGTCTTAATTACTTGAATATCCGTATAGAAATTAGATAGTACGCTTCTTGGATTGTGTTAAAATATATGAAGATCAGAAATAGCGTATAGTTACCACCCAGTGTTCGACCTAAATACTTCATTGCTCTTCGCTGGAACAGTAATAGGCTAATAGGCACTTGGATTAATAAATTATGCATTAGTAACATTGTATTAAAGGTTTCTGTATTCGAAATTACTAGGCGCATATTAATTTTTTGAAGTTGTACTTCTTTAGCGCGTTATGAAAAATTGTAAGTGAAATTTTACGATTCCCGCACCTATGACACAAAATTGCTGATGCTCGAGCGAGATGGCAACTAAGTAAGAAATGTTTAAGCTAACTTACATTTCTATAAACTTAACAAGAATTTTGAATGACATACAATTGAATTGACAATGACATTTACCTTTTAAACAAATATAGGAGTTTTAATTATTGTTTAAAATTAATAATTATATACCTAGTTATTTTCATTATACAAAATATTTGTGAAATAATATAAAATATTTGTGAAAATTCTAACTTCCTGAGTTTCAATACAATTGAGGTTAACTATGTATTATTATCGAGTATTATTGTTGATTAAAACTGAAAATAACATTATTCATTGCTTTTGTTTATTGCGTTTGTTACAGCAATTTTTAAAATATTCTACGACCTTATATCAATAATTGAGAAAATTTAAACGAATACATAAGGGAAAATGAGGCTTGAGCATATCAGAGAAGTAAAATTTTATAAGTACCTGATCTCAAAAAAATCCACATTATTTAATCAATAATTTAATCTAGCAATTAAGGACAAAAAAAAAAATTATATCAGTGGAAGTGCCTAAATTGAATACAAAAAAGAGTTGTCATCTTATCGCCGTGAAAATCAAAAACTGGAGGTGGAACAAAGCCACCATCACCTTCTCGAGACACAATGGTTTGAAGTAGATTTCAATGAATTTGATTGTGATGGTGTCGAGGTAGGAATGTTAATTATAAATATGATGTATGGTGATGTTCAAGGTTCAACCTTTCAAGCATTTTACAAATTACTTTATTCCCCTACAGGGTAGTTAGAGATATTGTAATACCTCAAAAATCCATGTTGCACTTTAGTACCGAAACTCTGTCCTCCAGAAGTGAGCCCATTCACTTTAATGAAGTTTTACTTAATACCTATCCACCATATATTAAATTAATAATGTTATTTATATATTTCAGGTTATTACAAATAAAATATTTTGGAAAATTGATATCCCAAAACAAATAAACCAACATAAAGGTAATATCAGTTTTGACATAACTTGAATACTAAAAAGCCAAACAAAGGTGTGCACAACAGTGAAACTAACTAACAATTTCTTATTTTTAGGATTAAAGAAAGGTTAAAGAAAATCATGTCAACTGAAAACAAAATCCCCAAACAACTCCAAAGAAACTACAAGGAAGACACGGTATTATATTTAAATTATCTCTATCTCTAAATAGAATAAAAGAAAGTTGCTATCAGGTCTGTAGCATGTGCTACAAATTATATTATTAACACATTTATATAATTATATTAATATAAATTGTTAAAAATTTATAATATGAATTATAAAAAATTTTAAGTTTTGCATGGACAGAGCTTAAATTAATATTTCTTATTTGTTGCAGAAAGCAAGTAGTTTTGGAGAAGCCTCTAGATGCACAACCAAGTAATGATTAATTTAAAATTACAAACGAAATTCTGATGAAGACATTAGAGTCACTTAAAAATAAATAGTATAATGAAATAAAAATGTTTTAAAGATAAATAGTGTTTTATTTGTTTAATGTAAGAGAATAATAATAAATATTTATTTAATTAATTTTTCAAATGTAAACTGAACTTTATTGACTTTAATGACTCCTTTTCCAGTCTTTGATTATTTAATTGTAATTAATTATTTGCATGCAATCAAAAACTATTTTTAATAATGCCAAAGAAGTATAACTTCTTACGCGCGTACATAAGTAC